ATAAATGAGTACACCCCCTCTGAATAAATATAAAAGATGTATTTTCTTAATGATCACTAATATAATTCATGGAAAGGTGGCAAAATTTAAACATATTAAACATATACTTAATAAAAACAGCAAAATATATGCCAATATTTTCTGTAAGATAAGTAAATTAGCCAATTGTGTTTAAATTGTCAGGAAATTACTTGTCTTTAAGTAAGTAATTTCAAGTAATTTCAGGTTCAATGTACTTACCTGTTGATCAAAAATAGCCTTAAACCTATACACTTTTTTTTTTTGTTTGTTTTATTTAGTAACTTTCAGGAGGGTGTACACATTTTTGCAACACAACATTTTATCACTTTGATAAGAAAATCTTATTTTGCTGAATAATTTTGGCATTCTTCTTTGGTAATTGATCAAGCAGGCTTGTTGGAACAACCCTAACATGTCTTCCAAGTAAAGAGTAATTGCTGAATTTGTTAAGTTTTAGAGGGGGTGTACTCATTTATGCTGTATTTATATATATATCTCTTATGCTAGGGCTGGGCAATTTTTTGAATGTACTGTTTTGCCACGATTTTATTTTTTAGAAATTGAGGAATCGCTATTTTGAATAGAAATATTACCAAACACTAGAATTAGACACTTTGACAATATGCCAATGATAACACAAAAAAGAAAAATACGATCCAACTGCACGTCGGTGCACGTGATTAACCGCTCATCATTCACACAGAATGCTTTGTGTTGACAAAGAAGCGACGCGGGCGGTGGAATAGGAAAATCATGCAAAAAGATGGGAGTGAGCTTCTTTTAACTTGAGAGCCGCGTTTTTAGACTGCCGTTTCATGCATGAGACTCTGCAAGAGACGCGTCCATGTTTACATAGAAAAACACTGGAAAAGCAGCGCAAGCGAATAAAAAACCTGTAAAGAACCACTACTGTATGTCTGATATTTCATATTTGCATCATGGTGACAGACTGAAAGCTGCTGTTCATTGTTTTTACAGAATATTTAGAGCTAATAATAGTCTACTGGTGTTATACCTTCTGTCATTTTGCATTTGAATAACCTTGACTTTTGAGATTTTTTTAAAGCATTTTCTTCGCATTATTTCTGAACATATAATATAAGACAAGTCTGTATAATTTGTAGGCTAGTTGTAGTTTTCTGCAAAGATATTTATCAAGTGACTTGTTTAACATTGACATCATGTTAACAACTTCATGTGTGGTGCACTTGGAATATAATTTTCTCTAACTAGAGGGTTAATAAAGAACAAGTTACTTGAATCGTGTTGTAGTTACATTTTCAAGTTGACTAGTTTTTGTAAAAAAAAGTAATTGTTTAAAAAAAAAAAAGAGAATCGGTCGTAAATCGAGATTTTAATTTTTTGCCGTATCGCCCAGCCCTAACTTATACTGATTTAAATATAAATTCTATGTCACTGTGATTGTCCTAGCAGGTTTGGGTGTATCATACCTGATGTTTCGGTTGCTCTGACTGTAAGCCCTTCACTTTTGACCTCTCTTGCTCCAGAGCTGTGTGTAATTGTGTCACCTGGAAAGGGGAGACACATTTTGGTACGCACAAAATATCACAGCAACACAACACTATGATTAAGGCCAAAGCTACTGTATTCAGTGAACGATTGGCTGTGTAGACACACACCTGTGAGGACAGCTCTTCTTTAATGTTCTGGAGCTCCTCCACCTGCAGCAGAATTTCAGCTTTGTCCTTCACTGAATATGAATAAAGTTGAATAAATAACAAGAATGAATGCTAGACTGCAGTATGTCAGGCTTGTATGATATTCTGCACTCACTCTCTCCCTGTTGAAGCATTTTAAGCAGCTGAGAGTTTCTGGCCTTCACTTCCTTATATCTTTCCTGAAAAAAAGACAACAATAATTAGTAAACACAAATATAATCTTAATCACACCAAAGTCTGAACTCTTAAATCACAGCGAGTTGTTAATTTAGTCAAAAACACATTCCAGCAGAACATCAAAACCATCACAACAGTTATTTATCACCTTAATAATCCAAAATTAGCCAAAATGTATTTCCTTATGACATTCTGACAAAATTAAAATCAGCCTTAATATTGCAATTAGAATCGACACTTAATTGATAATTTTCATGAATAGTTCATCACTGCAGTCGTAAATGTAAACACGGTTGTTTTTCAGTTAATTGTGCAGCCCCGTGACAGTTAAATGAAAAATATGCATTCATAAAATAATAATAATAATAATAATTAATTCAAAAAGAAATCTGATTTCTACTGCATATGCAAATGTTCATTAGAACTCTCATAAGAAACGATCTCTCCACATCACATCATCTTACCTCCCATTGTGAAATTGTCTTTTTCAACTTTATAATTTCCTGGTCTTTCTTTTCCAGTTCATATTTTAACTGCTCAGTTCTCACATCCTGGGAGTTTTAGGAAAGAAAACAAAAATAACAGTTGTGGTGTTACACTGAGCTGCATTCTACATTGCGGTACAACAGACTTGTACAAATTCTGCACCTTTTCTTGGGTATTTTTTCTTGTATCTGGCTCAAGAAGAGTGAATGAGCGAGTTTTCTGACCTGCTCCTGCTCTGAGGAGGTGTTGACCTCGTGGCCGGCACTGTTGCTGTACTGCTCTCTGCGCTTGTCACGCTGGACAATCCGGCTCACATCGTCCTCCAGCTGGTTGAAAAACTTGTCGTCACACAACGCTGGATTCACAGGCTTCGAAAGAAAAAACAGGAAGAAGAAATTGCAAGTCGAATGGTTCACTGCACACTTTCAGTCAGTATCCACTAAATAACATCACTGCAGTATCATCAGCATGTGCCACACTGTATGATGCTTTATCACAAGTGGAAATCATGAAGGGTTTTCAGATATTTTGATGCCAAGAGACCCCCTTCCTAAACTGTACAGAAAGCTGACTTTTTCATGTATAAATGCATGAATATCAGTCTTGTTATTGCTAATTAAAGCTAAAATATTACATCTACATCTATTCATTTAGCAGATGGCTTTAATCCAAAGCAACTTACAAATGAGGAATACAAGTGATTTATCATAAGGTATGCTAGCAATACAAAGTTTTAAACATTGTCCAAAATAGAACAAGTTAGAAAAAGGAGGGATATAATTACAGTAAAAGCGCAGAAAAATACGTTTTTTTTTAATGAAGTCAGCAGGATTTAGCCTAGTGCTCACGGTAGGGTTGTGCCAATAGACGATAGTATTGTGTATCGGCGATAGTCAGAGATATCGCCTGTGGCTGATGCCTTTGACAATAGCAAGATGATTATTATTATTAATATTAGGCTAATCCTAAATAATATTAGGGCTTATTTGTTCCATTATATTTATTTTTTCTGCGTTTTTACAGTGTTGCGCTTTGTAACCAATCACACACAATTATGTTGAGCTTATGAATGCAATGGCCAATCAGAGGCATTCAGATGAGTCATCGCTGAAACAGTTTTTGAGTTTTGTTGTTCAGTTGTTCGATGACTGAATTCAGCTCTCTCGCGAATTCTCACATCATAAACAACAAAGGCTGAACTCACAGGCTGACGATAGGACGATATGAAAATTGAGCATATTGCCCAACACTAGCTCACGGAAGTTTAAAAATCTAATTTTAATCTAAAGTTTGTATTAACAAAAAGTTGAAATAAGATAAAACAAATATTACATACAATAATTAGAAATGTTGCCTTGGCAAGTAAGATAAATAAAGTAAGTTTAAGCTAAGTTTAAATACTACTGCTAAATTACTAAACCTAAAACATTAATTTAATTTAAAAAACATGACAAAAGCACAAAATAAATACAAATAAAATAAAAATATACAAATAAAACCTAATTCTAAATATTAAAATAGTATATAAAGTAGGGCTGCCCCCTAATAGTCGACTAATCGTTAGTTGACCAGAAGAGGATTGGTCGACCAAAATTTTATTAGTTGCAGAAAAAAAAATCCCCAGGCGAAGTCACAGTCCGTGAAGGACAGATCGTTAACAGTTAGTCTATGGTAATACAGTACATCGGGCAGGACATCCAAACGTTAGCCTATCATTCATCGACCTCAAATATGGCTTATCATCTGAAATATGTAAGTATTAGCAACTGTACATGGCCGCTCAAATCTAATGTTATCCTACAGAAATGTTTTTGTGGAGAGTGGAAGCTGAACAGTAGCTCACTGCAGCCAGATGGAGGCGCTGGTGCGCTCACTTGCTCTTAAAATACTGTCATTTTTGGTCATAAGATAAAAATAATACATCTTTCAAATCTGTGAAGACTCTACGTTTATTTGTGTGCACTCACAATACCGTGCTTTTGTAAAATAATGAAAACAAACACGATGCACTTTCTGCCGTCTCGGCCTCTGTGAACTTGAGCGCGAAACTCTGTGTATATCTTTGCCTTACAGAAATTAAAAATTTATAGAGTGAAATGTCTACTTTCAAATGAACCAATTCAAATGGAAAACAAATTCTCAGATTATGTAATCCGTATGAAACATGCATACAGGCGCATGACTACTGCGGAGTCAGTGTCGCTGACTTCATCTCTTAAACCCGAAAACAAAGAAAGCTCTAGTTTATCAAATTATTAAAATTTTAATGCAGTCTCCTTACTGTTTTTCCCTGACACATTCATAATCATTACTTCTGCCGGTGCACTGTGGCAAGTTTTATGCGTGTGCTTGAGCACTTATTAAGCTATGTAGGCAATTAAAGGCTCATTATAATGATTTAAATGGTTTATTAATAAATGTGCGATTAGTAGACTAATGCTTCAAATGAACGACCAGAAAAATCCTTAGTCAAGGGCAGCCCTAATATAAAGAATACTAAATAAAACTTATTTATACTATGTAAGAAAAACATTTGATTTTTACAAAGACAACATGTTTCCAAAATTAAGATACATAAATTACAAATACAGGTGCATCTCAAAAAATTTGAATATCATGAAAAATGTCGTCTTCTTTTTTTTTTTTTGTAACTCATTTCAAAAAGTGAAACTTTCATATATTCTAGATTCATTACATGTAAAGCAAAACATTTCAAACGTTTTCCATCCGCCTCAAAGAGGGTAAGTCACAGAAGGTCATTACTGAAAGGGGTGGCTGTTCACAGAGTGCTGTATCAAAGCATATTAAATGCAAAGTTGACTGGAAGGAAGACATTTGGTAGGAAAAGGTGCACAAGGAACAGGGATGACTTCAAGCTTGAGAATACTGTCAAGCAAAGCCGATTCAAACACTTGGGAGAGCTTCACAAGGAGTGGACTGAAGCTGGAGTCAGTGCATCAAGAGTCACCACGCTCAGACGGTATTCAGGAAAAGGGCTACCAAGCCACTTCTGAAACAGAAACAATGTCAGAAGCATCTTACCTGGGCTAAGGAGAAAAAGAACTGGACTGCTCAGTGGTCCAAAGTCCTCTTTTCAGATAAAAGTAAATTTTGCATTTCATTTGGAAATCAAGGTCTAGAGTCTGGAGGAAGAGTGGAGAGACACAGAATCCAAGCTGCTTGAAGTCCAGTGTGACGTTTCTAATGTCAGTGATGATTTGGGGTGCCGTGACGTCTGCTGGTGTTGGTCCATTGTGTTTTATCAAGTCCAAAGTCAATGCAGCCATCCACCAGGAGATTTTGGAGCACTTTATGCTTCCATCTGCTGACAAGCTTTATGGAGATGCTGATTTCCTTTTCCAGCAGGACTTTAGCACCTGCCCACAGTGCCAAAACCACTTCCATGTGCTCTGCTGACCATGATATTACTGTGCTTGATTGGCCAGCCAACATGCCTGACCTGAACCCCATATGGAATCTATGGGATATTTTCAAGAGAAAGAAGAGAAACAGCCGATCCAACAATACAGACGAGCTGAAGGCTCAATAGTGCCTCATCAGCGCCACAAGGCTGATCGCTTCCATACCACACCTCACTGATGCTGGAGTTTGTGCTAAAGGAGCCCCGACCAAGTATTGAGCGCATAAATGAACATACTTTAAAGAATTTGAGCTTTTCTGTTTTTTTTTTTTTAATTGATCTTACAGGGTATATACAGGAATCATGGGAGTTAAATTTAATACCTTTTTAGACCTTTTTTAAGACTCTTTCCATACATTTTAAGACCTCATCGCCACTCCAAGTTTTAACCGGTTACATCGGCGACACTTTAACTTACATTTAATATATATTGATTGTAAGATAGCACAACTAAACAGACTTACTTTGTGATAACTTCTTATCAATACAACATAATTCAGAAGGTGGGGACGAAGCACAAGATAATTAATTGAGTGACTAACCAATGCAACCCAAGAAACAAGAATTAGACCAATAAACAAAACAACTGACAAAACTCATTGAGGAGGGAAAATAAAGCTCTCCGAGCTAAAGGGGCAATGAGTTCACACAGTATATTCAAAAGAAGTATTTGTCACATCAACTCTGATAACTGTCTGCAAACCATAGCTGTTTTGTGGAACACTTCTCATGACAAACATCTGACTGATCAGACAGGTTTAACTGTGATTACGGAGTGCTTGATTTGATGCAGACTTGACAGAGTGTCAGTACTGCACCTGATCGTGTCTGAATGATCATGGAAGGTAAAATAATGATCACAACTATTACATCATTTAAAAAAAAAACAGCCCAAAGTAGCGCAATTACCCTGTCCCAAATATAAAAATGTCATTTCCATCCCTAAAATACAAATTTTACAGTCACTGTTATGGACATTTATCATAAACACAGCTCAAATGCTTCCTACTAGTGTGGCCCAAAACATTCAGCAGTTTTATTACAGGTAGAATGCAAAATGTTTAGGTACAAGCATTTCAACCAAATGTAATTTATGCAATATTTCAAACCTTTAACCCACTGGGGAAAATCAACCCATGGCAACAGTTTAAAAGCAGCCCAATTTCGTGTAAAAAAACAACAACCGTGCATCCAACACGAGCTGCAGAAGTCAGATTTTACTAATCACAGGTCAAAAGTAAGGAGAGATAACTGACAAGATGTTGGAGGATTTGCTCCTCAACAGATCCTGAGCTCATTGAAAAATATCTTATATAGTAAGATGTGCTCCCTTTACACAGTGCGCGCTCGCGATCGCAAAATCAAAAGGGAACTGCGACAGCGAGCGCTCATTCAAAAGGAATTTAAATACCCCACATATTGATAGCGGCGCCCTGATGCGCTAAAATTATATACAATATTAGAATGTTTGCGGGAGCGGATGGGAGCATGCGGTAATGGTCAGAAATTCAGCGAGAGCGGGATCAACAAGCCCCGCGCTATCACGCAGCGAAAAAGTCAGTCAGTGAGCGCTGTAACAGATGACGTCAAATCTTGCGGGATTCCATAAATAAACTACACAGAACCCCATTATTCGGACAAATATACATAATGAAAAGATGATACAAAATGTAATACCTTGGAAAATGGCATTTAAGACTTTTTAATACTTTTTAAGGGCCTTGATTTCCTCTAAATTGATTTATCAACTTTTAATACATTTTAAGACCCCTCGGACACCCTGTCTTAGGAAACATTCTAATATTTTGAGATACTGGATTTTTGACTTTCATGAGCTGTTAGCTCTAATCATCAGAATTAAAACAAAAAAACTTTTGAAATGTTTTACTTCACATGTAATGACTCTAGAATATATGAAAGTTTCACTTTTTGAAATAAGTTACAAAAATACGTTTTTTAGAGATGCACCTTTCAGTTACTATACATCATTATATAATTATATTATAAATACTTTATATAATGATCATTAATGATTTATAACATCATTGTGCCAAAGACAAAGAAAGTTAATTAATAATCAAAATATTATCAGGAGGACATTTATTTTGTATTAAATTTGCAGTATCTTTTAGAACTCACAATTAGAATAATATAAGCTGTATAAACGTTTATATAATGCTTGAATGTTCATATTAATCACTCACCTCTCTGTCAGGCTTCTTGTTCAGCTGATCTGTAATAGAGACAGTCAGTTAGAACGGCAGAACAGTAACAGTGATTTGTCTTTAATGATAAGAAAGCAGCGTTCTCACCCACGCCACCCTCCTGCTGGAAGTCTTTAAGAGACACAGTCACTCGTTTGTCCTTCCCCTGCTGATTCTTCTTCCTGTCCTTCTTTCCTCCTGCTTTAGCTTTTGGTGACGCCGTCTCTGTTCTTTCAGCATCCTTGAGAGATTATAACATTACACATTAAAGAGCATGTACTGCCTAGCTGAAAAAGATACGAAAAAAAAAACACGAAAATGCAAAGCAAGCACTGAAAATAGTTGATATAGTAGTTACACAATCAACTGCAATCATTATATTACATTATACTACACAAGTATTACATACAGACCTCTTGACTTCTAACATCTCACTATAACCACAAGAGGGAGTAGTTACATTTGTCCCTACATTTTAAAGAGCTAGAAATGAACCTCCACAAGTATGAACATGAGGCACATTGATGCTTTGACAGTGTGGAGATATGAACAGCAGGCAGAAGCTCACTTAAAGCAAATGAACACCTATAATTTAAATTTCATTCTGTTCCTCAAACTATTGTTTGGCCTTAAGAAGAATTTTACTTAACTTACAGTAATTTATGCAATGTATTAACGTGTAATGTATTATAACGCATGTAATTTTATCATGTCCACCCCCACTCACTTTCATTGTATGCAGTTGCATTTCTGAGTTACTATTACCCAGTTCATTTAAACTATGCTATGTACACTACCATTCAAAAGTTTGAGGTCAGTGAGATTTTTTAATTTTAAAAGATGCTCCTAAAGGTTGCACTGATAAATACAAACATACACAATTGATTGTATATGAACATTGATTGTGTAATTGAACAATTTAAATAAATAAATAAATAAATATATATATATATATATATATATATATATATATAGGAGTCTGTGTGCATTGAATTTATTTAATACACGAGTTTCACAATTTGAGTTGAATTACTGAAATAAATGAACTTTTCCACGACATTCTAATTTATTGAGATGCACCTGTATTGTATGATATGAAAAATATAAAAAACAAAAAAAACATGAAATACATTTTTGAAAACTTCCTTTATAACTTAAATAGTTTGGTAATATATTTTATCTTGTATTGCTTTCTTTAATCTTAGGGGGGAAAAATGACAAATGATATATATATATATGCAGGACACTATAGTTCATTTATGTAAGTGAGGATAGCAAAATAAATTAAACTTTGACATATTATACCCAAAAACTCTTCATATAGTGGACTACCAGTAAAATTGATAAAACATTTGGGACCAAAATTATTCAGACACTTTGACCTGACCATGTTTTGCTTAAGTGTTTTAACAAAATTAAGCATTGCTTGGTAATTGGTTGGTTGACCTAAAGTAGTATTATCTAATTGTGTTCTTAAATTTAAGAGCTGACAGCTATTCAACCAAATTCATTACATACCTTTCTATCAAAGTTATCTGACATTATCAAGATTAATTTGTTCTGACAGTTTAACTCTGTGTTCTTGACATATTTTATTACCATTTTCTAAACTATAGCGAATAAACTGTAATAATGTGAGAAACACTGAAGGTGTCTGAAATTTTGGTTTGACTGTATATAGGCTCCTGGACTGGAGACTGGGTGCAAAGTATCTTAAAATATTAGATAATCTGACCTTTTTATGAGAAGATAAGGATAGTTCAGAAAAAAAGTAAACCTGAATGGTATGAATTAATAAATAATTAGTTTTTTTTTTCTTTTTTAGTAAATTAAAATATTTAAAACATTTGATTAAGATGTCATTACTTTTAACTTGATGGTTACACCACATGGCATTTTTTAGTGTCGTTAAATTTAATCTTCTCTTAGTATGGTACCTTTTTATGTTGCTCAAATTCCAGTTTACTGAGCATCAAGGCCTTCTCCAGATCCGCCTCATACAAGTCACTGGTCAGCTGGGACAAACACAAGCATGAAGATGTTTGCATAAAGCCGGTGAGAAATGGGCCGTGTGAAAGTCAATTCTGAGGTTTAGTGAGAAGGTTTACCTGTTCATCTCTCTGTTTCCACTCCTGCCAGCTCTCCTGGGGCTTGGAGCTGTGCTGGACCGCTGCCGGGTTGATCAGATCACTGGCTAAATCCTGCAGCGTGAGCGTGGAGGGAGGTGCTGTTGACTTCTGAGGGATCTTCTTAAAAGCAAGACTTCTGAGCTGCAGTGTGTAACGACAAACACTCTTTGTTAGTCATTTAGCTGATGCTTTACCCAAAACAGAACTACTACAACACACCACCCTCTGTGCCTGCAAGGATGTTATAAACATCAACTCTGATTCATCATCATTGCTAGCTCCAGAAACAAACATGGGGCCCAACTGCTTAGAAAGACAGGTAGGTACACAGAGCTCTAGACAGACAGACAGTTAACAATAGACAGAACGATACACAGAAAGACAAATATATAGATGACAAAATAAACAACTGAACAAAGATATACAGAACTAACAACTGAGAAACGACAGACAGACAGAATAGACAATAGACAGAATAGAATAGAAAACAGAATAGACAGAGAGATAGACAAACAAACAGACGAACGACATACAGAACAGATAGATAAGAGAATTAATGGATTTATAAAAGGACAGCTAGAATTAGACAGAATGACAGAGAGAACAAATGATAGATGATAGAATGAACAATAGAAAGATTGATAGATATGTAAAATGACAGAACACGGATGGATGGACAGACCGATAAGATAGATATAGATGACCGACCGACGGACGGACGGACGGACTGGACGGGACGGGACGGGACAGACAGACAGACAGACAGATAAAGATAGATAGATAGACAGATAAGATAGATAGACCGATAAGATAGATAGACCGATAAGATAGACAGACCGATAAGATAGATAGACCGATAAGATAGATAGACAGTAGGGCTGCACGATATATCGAAATTATCGAAATATCGCAAATGTAAATATCGCAATATGCATATCGCAAGGGCGTGCGATATCTGAATAATTTTAATAATAGGCTACTTAAATCAAAACGTTGCAAAAGGTCAAAGTTTTAGTTCGACGCATATAGCAGACAATTGCTTGACGTTAAAAAGAGTTAAGTGCAATAAGTTGCAGAAAACAACTCCTTGCTGTCTGACTCACACCTGAAGCGCGTGCACAAGCCGCATCTCGCGCAGCGTCTCTTCCGTTCTGCCGCACACATGCGTTTCAGACAGCGCGCGAACAGCGAGTTGATTCGCATCTTTCGCATCTCCTCCTTATGTTTAAACAGACACATACATACAAAATGATGTCAATAGTACCCGTCTCGACGATCATTCTCGTACACGCAGTCAGTTATGCTTTAAATGAATGTAAACAGCTGAGAAAGAAATCGGATGTGTATCATTATACTGGATCCGTGCAGTCGGATTTAAAGGGACAGCAGCCTATAAATACGTGCTGCTGAATATGTCACTAATGTTAATCAAACAACAAAACAGCTATAACAAAGATTAATCTAAATTTAATTCATACAGTGAACACTATGCAGTGTTATTTTACACTTAATTATTACATTTCTGTACCTGAATACTATAGACCGATAAGATAGATAGATAGATAGATAGAAATAGTCAGATTATAGATAGATAGATATAGATAGATAAGATAGATCGATAAGATAGACAGATAAGATAGATAGACAGATAGATAGATAGATATATAGATAAGATAGACCGATAAAATAGATAAGATAGATAGATAGATAGATAAGATAATATAGACCGATAAGATAGATAGATAGATAGATATAGTCAGATTATAGATAGATAGATAGATAGATAAGATAGACAGATAAGACAGATAGATAGATAGACAGATAGATAAGAGACCGATAAAATAGATAGATAGATAGATAAGATAGATAGATAGATAGATAGATAGATAAGATAGACCGATAAAATAGATAGATAAGATAGATAGATAGATAGACCGATAAGATAGATAGATAGATAGATAGAAATAGTCAGATTATAGATAGATAGATAGATAGATAGATAGATAA